GATCCCATTGCTCCACCAATAATTTGTCGATAGAATTTATTACCATAAACAAATACATTTGCTTGCAGTACTATCCGACCTAATTCAATAATTGTGTCAATCGAAATCTCATTTACACGATCACAACGATGTTCTTGAAGAAATTCACCAAGAATTTTTAATGATTCTTCTTGTGGTAACATCGTATAAAGGTTCGTAATATCAAAAGTAACAAAGAAAGTAGTTGATTTCAAATGACCATTTTGAATATAATCCTTACATTTCTTAAGAAGATCAACACCATCAATAATTCTCGTCTGATGAACAAATCGATCAAATAAAGGTCGAATTAATTGATCTAAAAATTTGGAGATTTTCGCTGTTGCTGCATGTATAGTGTTGACAATAGGTCGAAGTGGTGTTCCTTTCTAAATAGAGAAGTTTGTTTGTTTGTTTGTTTGGTTGGTTTCTGATGACTGATATGTTATGTAATCTAAGATTATATTATATAATTACTTTATGTGATTTAGGAAGAAAATACATGTAAGCTAATTGTGTCTTTTCACGAACAGGTACCATCTGCATACGTTGATATTCTACGATTTTTGACATTGTTTTTAATTGATTTAGTGAATGAGTGACATTGTAAATATTTTCATTAAATGGATTGACATTTAATTCTTCGTAAGCACCTGTATCTTGTCGATATTTAACTGCTTTTCGTTTATAATCAATGGCATAACCAATATGAAATACACTACTTTTATCTGTTTGCCGAAGAATAAGCTTATATTTCTTTAATTTTCGCTGAATAGATTTGACTAGTTTTAATTCTCGTCGAGCACGTAATTGATCAATCAACGGTAATGGAGTCATATAACGCTCAAGAAGATAAGTTCGAAGACGATCTGAATACATGTTATATAATGGTGATGTTAATGGTAATTTTCCTGGATCTTTGAGATTACTCATATATTTCTTTATCCTGTTCATATTAGTATCAAATTCTGTGTTAATCTGTTTCTGTCGTTGTTTATACGGACGAAGTACACTTTGATTTGGTCTAATATAATTTGGACCTAAAATAATACAACAATCATAAGCCGTATAAGAAGATATGAAAAGAAGAAAGAAAAAAATAATAATTAATATAACCTCGGGAAAGATAATCCAATTCATTGGAAGTAAATGAATGTCGAATAAGATCAAGAATAATTTTTGGACGAACATTGACAATTTCCTTCTTCGATTTCAAATGTAGCTGACGATGACGTAATAGTTTTCTTCGATAGACTGGTATTTTTTCA